GGGGGGGGGGGGGGTGCAGGCATGTGCCGGCGGAGCCGCCCCTCTTCAGCTCTCCCCGCCGGGCGCTCCCCGGGGACTCCAGGCTGGACCCCTTCCTCATGGCTTTGCGGGGGTACTCCGGCCGCCTCTGGGCTTCGGGGGCTTCTTCATCGGAGGAGCCAGGTGCCTCTGCCTCCACGCATGGCCGCCGTGGCCCGGTGCCCCTTGGCCGCTTTCCCAGGGCCACCCCGGGCTTCCCCATACCCTGACTCTGCCACTCCATGGCGGAGACGGGGACTCCAGGCTGGACCCCTTCCTCATGGCTTTGCGGGGGTACTCCGGCCGCCTCTGGGCTTCGGGGGCTTCTTCATCGGAGGAGCCAGGTGCCTCTGCCTCCACGCATGGCCGCCGTGGCCCGGTGCCCCTTGGCCGCTTTCCCAGGGCCACCCCGGGCTTCCCCATACCCTGACTCTGCCACTCCATGGCGGAGACGTCCCCCGGCGTGACCGCCTCCAACCGCGGCCCCTCAGGTGTCCCCATGGCCTCGTCATCTGTGGGGATCTCATTGAGCGACATGCGGGAGCCGGAGAACTCCACCTGGTGCGGCATGGGGATGAAGGGCAGCTCGTCCAGGTCGTCCGAGTCCGAGGAGGATGACAGTGCCGGCGACTCCTTGAGGTGCCGGGGCACGGCGATGGAGAGGTGGTTGGACGTGTCCTCCAGCAGCTCCGGGATCGGCCGCAGCACCATGTTGCACTTGTAGCTGATCTGCGAGCGCTGCAGCCGGCGGAGAGGGCTGGATCAGGCCCACGCAGGCTGCATGGCATCATCCTACCCAGTGCACATCACCCCATCCTGCCCAGGGCATGTCACCCCATCCTGCCCAGCACACAGCTCCGCCCGCCCCCCTCCTGCCCCAGCTCCTGCCTTCACCTGCCATTTCCGACGGGAGAGGAAGAGCTTTAGGTGGTCGGTGCTGATGACCTTCCCCTTGGCCAGCGTCTGCAGGGCGAGGGGACAGCGGTGTCCCACGGAGCCTACAGCAGGCTCAGGAGAACCCCGCTGCCGTCAGGCGCTGGGTCCCTGTCCAGGCTCACCTTGAACCAGGGATGCTCCAGGGTCTGCTCCGCATTGGGTCTCCTGTGAACCAACACCGCTGGGTGAGAACTACCTGGGCTGGGGGGCTTTGGCCAGCCCGTGGAAGGGCAGGAGGGTCTGGCTGCCCGTGCTGCACCCCGGCAGGGCTGTGCAGCCAGCCTGCCCTCGGGGACCCCGATGCACGGGGGTCCCCACCCTCCCTTGAGCACAAGGCTCATGCCAGAGGGGTGGGGGCTGGGGACCCCGTGGCACTCACAGCCTGTCATTGACCAGCACTTTGATGACAAAGCCCTTGGCTTCCCGGGTGAGCCCCTGGAACATCCTCTCCTCGAAGGCCACGTTGTAGTTGCGGATGTTCATCAACGTCGTCTTGTCGTTCTCCCCCACGAAGGGGGAGATCCCCGTCAGGCTGCCAAGGAGGGGACACTGTCATCGGGCCAGGGGGCATGGGGAACAGCATGGCAAGTACGGGGGACTGAGGACAGGACCCCTGACCCCAGCCCGGGTGCCACAGGGAGGGCAGAGGCAGGAGCAGCCAGGGAGTAGGCTGAGTCTGCAAGGAGCGATGTGCATGGCCGCAGCCCCAGAACTGCAACGGCAAGGGGGCAGGAAGGGGGTCCCTCCCATGAGGGCCCAGCGGGGCACTTACCAGAGGTAGGCGATGACCCCCACGGGCCTGCAGAGGGAAGAGCGCGGTTACTGTACAGCACGAGCCCTCCGGGGTGCCCCGTCCCTCCCGGCATCGTGGGGAGCCCACAGTCCGCCCCACGGCTGCCCTTACCAGATGTCGGTGACGCTGGAGACGGGGCTCTGGTTGACGATCTCGGGGCCCACGAATTCGGGGGTGCCATACTTGCAGTACTGCGGCTCCTCGGGGGTCAGCTCCTGTGCATTGCCGAAGTCGCAGATCCGGACCTGCTCGCTGCTCGAATCCGCCATCAGGAGGTTTTCTGGCTACAGGACAGCGCGGGGCGGAGGGGAGCTTGGCAGGAGGCAGGGGCTCCCCGCAGGGAAGGGATGTCCCCCATCAGCAGGACCGAGCCCCCCGCAGCGCGGCAGGAGCCCGTCCATGTGGGCATGGGGCAGGAGGGAGCGGGAGAGCCCCGCACTCACTTTGATGTCCAGGTGCAGGACGCTGTGCTGGTGCAGGTAGCAGATCCCCTCCAGGACCTGCCGCATGTAGGACCGGACCTGCGAGAGAGCAGAGGGAGGGTGGGCACCCCGAGTATGGCCCTGGGCAGAGGAGGGCATGGGCTGTAGCCCCCTTTGTAGCCTGATACAATAAGTGTTGCACGTCCCTGGGTTGGGATAGACCCCGGTGTCCCCAGGCTCCCTCCCTCCCCCATCACTTTGCTCCCCAAGGTTCACCCACCTCGGACTCGCACACCGAGGGCTTCCTCGCCATCCTGTCCAGCAGCTCTTCCTTGGCGCAGCTGGGTCCCGGTCAAGGAGCACAGAAACTCCATGCCCCCGCCGTGCCCTGCACCCTCCTAGGCACCCAGCTCCTCTGCACCCGCTCTGCCCACCCATCCCCTGCAAAAGCCTCCCCTCATCCCCCAGGCCGCCTGCTCCCAGAGCAGTGCCCAGAGGATACAGCTCCATGACCATGATGACGGCATTCTTCTTCTCAAAGGCGTCGTGGAAGAAGACGATGCGCTCATGGTCCAGCTGCGAGAGGATGTGCAGCTCCCGGCGTGCCGACTGCTTGGCCTTGGTCCTCCCAGGGACGAACTTGGCGGCAAAGTCCAGCCGGCTGCTCTTCTCCGTCACCCTCCGCAGGTAGGAGAAAGCCCCTCTGCAACGCAGCAATGGGGGCAAGGGGGGATGAGAAGGTGGGGGAGCAGGAGACCTCCCCTTCCCCGAGCAGCTGGGGCAGGCACCCGCTCTGCAAGGAGCTGCCCACAGCCCCGGCAGTCCTCCAGGACCACCCATGGAGAGACCTCAGGCCTGGCATTGCTCCGGCTGCCCCAGCTCCCCACCCCGAGCCAGCACCGGGGCATCCAACGATGGCCGAGAGCAGCCCCAGCACATCAGGATTTGGCGTACCACGGAGCTCAGTCCTGAGGGACAGAGCCCCGGGGTGCAGCCTGGCTCCAGCACCCCTGTCCCTGTGGTGCCCAGGCTGCCCTGTTGCCCACCATCCCGGTGGCCCCATACCTCCCAATCTCCTCGTGCACGTCGTAGTAGTCAGTCAGGCGTCGCGCCTTGTGCAGTGCCTCCTCCTCCATGGCGGCATCGGCAGGGGGCTGGGCTGGGGGAAGGAAAGGCGCTGGCGGGGGGCAAGCCGGGCACCCAGGCTCTGCCCTGCTGGGCCAGGGGGCTGGCTGGCCGTACCTGCCCGCACCACCAGCTCTGCCTTGCAGGAGACCTCCCCGGCCAGGTTCTTGGCCGTGCAGGTGTAGACGCCGCTGTCGGGTTCGGTGGCGCCCAGCACCACCAGCGAGCACTCGTTGTCCTCGTACACGAAGCTCAGGTGGCTGCTCTCCTCCAGCAGCTCCCCGTCCTGGGGGTGGCAGGGGCATCAGGGGGGTCCCATCCCGTCCCTGACCAGCTCCCGCCACCCTTTCCCGATGGATGGGGCATGGGGTGCATCCTGCATCACCGGGGGTGAACGCAGCCCCAAAGCCCCAACACAGTGACCCAGGTGAGGCAGTGGAGAGTGTGGGTCTGGGGGGCCTGTGGGTCAGGAAGGGAGTGGGGGGTCCCAGCCCACCTTGTACCACATGATGTCCGGCAGCGGCTTCCCCTCCACCACCACAGCAAAGCGCGGCGTCTCCCCTTCCTGGGCATCGATGTCCTCCATGATGGACTCAAAGCGTGGTGCCTCTGCCAAGAGACGGGGCATGGGGCACCACGGGGCAGTGCCACCCCCATGCCACTGGCACGGGGTGTATGGCTGTGGGGCACTGCGAGGAGGTGCCAGCCCACAGTACAGGGGCATGGAGCACCATGGGGCAGCACCACCCCAATGCACACGGGAGCGCGATGCTACGGGGCAGGCCACCATTGGTGTGGGGCACCGTGGGGCAGTGCCACTCATGGCACATGGGCATGGGGCACTGTGGGGTTGCATCTCCCCATTATATATGGATGTGGGGTACTGTAGGGCAGTGCCACCCGTGACACCTCTGTGGGGCATTGTGGAGGTGTCCCCCACAGCTCTTGGCCATAGGGCGCTGTGGGCAGTGCCACCCCATTATACACAGGTATGGGACACCCTGCAGCAGTGCCACCCATGGCACATGGCTGAGGGACACCATGGGGCAGTGCCACCCCATGCACATAGTCACGGGGCACGTGGGACACTTCTACCCAAGTCAGATATGGGTACAGGACACTGGGCAGCAGTACCAACACGTGGCTCAGGGGTTTTCAGCCCCATGGGGCATTGACACCCTATAGAGCAGCATTCCCATGGCACAGGAGAATCGAGCACTGAGGGCCAGTGCTATGCTATGCGGCAGTGCCCCCATGGCACATGGGTATGGGGCACTGTGGAGCAGTGCCACCCTGCAGGGCAATGTCCCCTCCCTCCCCATGGCACACAGGCTTGGAGCACCGTAGGGCAATGCCACCCCCCGGCAGAGGGGCACAGCCCCCCAGCGCGGGGGCACCTACCTGCGAGGCGGAGGCGGAGGGTGCAGCGGGCAGTGCCGTGGCGGTTGCTCACCTCGCAGGCCAGTGGCCCCGCGGCCCCCCGGCCC